CAACCAGATCTGATATTGGGCCATTGATATCAGGTTTGCTTTTTAGGTTTTCCTCATTTTATAAATCTCATCCTGTGTTGCGCTTGTTTTGGGAGGGCCACACTTTGCCTCCATCCATCCATTTTCCAACAGTCTTGCCCCTTGTCGGGGCGGGAGATGCTGGTGCCTCTTCATCTAACGTTGTGGGTGAGAGGCGGGGTCACCTGGACGGGTCACCAGTCTGTCACAGGTCAACCCAGAGGCAGACAGGACAAACGGCCATGCACACACTCACCCCTAAGGTGAATCTATACTGACCAGTTAGAGTAACAGTCATGTTTCTGGTCTGTGGGAGGAATCCGGAGTACCCAGAGAGAACCCACCATGTGCAGGGAGAACATGCAAACTCCATGCAGACAGAACCTGGGCCGGGAATCGAACCCAGGACCTTCTTGCTGCAAAGCATCAGGGCTAAAATAACATAAAAAAGCAAACAGAAACATAACATTTATAAGGCGGAAAATCTGTATATCTAAAGTGAGTTTGGCTGATTTTACAGAAAAATCTGCCAAGCGGCTTTAACGCATGCAAATCTGGAGTCATAGATGTAACCCAGAGCGATCCAAATTGACACATTTCCAGGATCTGAAACTCATGACATGGCGCTTCAAAGCTACACATTATGTTTTTTCCCTATTTATAGAGAAAATCTGAGCAAAATGTTACGCTATTCATATACCGGTTAGAAACAAACGGATATAACATATGGAGGTAGTTGCAGTTTGTTGCCTGAAATAATTATAGTCTCCAGAAATGTGCAGCCTTCAGCTCAGCTCTCCCTAAACCTGGTCTGCCTAAAATAGGTGGGAAAAATCAGCTGAATCCAAACAGACAGAAATAGGATTTGTGGGCAAACCTTGGCCCTTAAAAAAGGGATTCAGCTCAACAATGTGTTACAAATTGAGTAAAGTGAGAAATATTTTGTAGCATGTTCTCTGTTTCTTTATAACAAGGCTTCTGAAAACCTCGCAAGCAAGTCTGAATTACTGAAAATCCTCTTTAAATGCTTTAAAAAAGGGCAATTTAGTTTGCAGTTCTCTGGTCAGCATAACAAAAAGACAATACAAGCACTCTTATGCAGCAATTTGTTCCAGATTTGCTGACTGAATTTGATTTAAGGGCAATAATTCACCTGTCAGGCAATAATATAAAGAAATAAAGCAACGACTCAACTTCTGGCACAAAACTTTTATTCTGTAGCATCTAATTAAAGATGGAAATTATCTTCTGTTTAAAAGTCTGGTCCTGTAGAAACCGTCATCGAGTTTAATCTACTGAACATCACAGTTAATATAATGAAAGAATAGTGCAATACAAATATAATCCCTTCAAGTTTCACGTTTTATCCAGAAATCTTTTTTATGTTTGCATCATAAAATATTTTACAGTTGACCGTTACTTTCTGTCACATCAAATATTAATAATAGGCACTAAAATTAGTATGCAATGTGACAAGATGTGAAAACTTTTAAGACAAATAAATACTCTTCCATCATGAAAAGTTATAAAGTTTTTATTTATTTTGTTTAAAACTTGTATTTAATGAAGAACAATATATGGCAGTATTATGATATGTGTTATATGGTCATAAAATATTATTGGAAAAATTTAATCATCTGTTTTATAGTGCAAGTACAATAGAAAATGTACAAACATGAGACATAAATACAAATTACAAAATGAATATAAATAATAGAGAAGGGTTGATAAAAAGCAGATTTTAAGCATAGAAATTGCCAACTTTAGTATTTTTGCAAAATATTTCTTTTATTTCAGTATTCAGTGAAAGGGATACATAAAAAAAACTCTTTCCATTATTTTGTAAACAAACCCTACATGAGCTAAACTACTTTTGCAAGTTCAGCTGACAGTGAGACAGTAAATGTCATCAGGTTTAAAGTTCACAGAAATGTTACGTCACAGAAGAACTATGTATTAGCAAATGCATACAAATACCTACAATTGCATGTATTTATATTTTTTATAAATATAACTATAAATTATGTGTTTATAAATGTTATAATCGTATCAAACCACATTGGAAAGATAATATGTTGGAACTGTTCTTTTGGAGCAAACCAGAACAAACCTCTGCAATAATGAACCATTTTGGATTAATCTGGAGGACATTTCAACCCTGGAAGTGATTATGTTGAAGTTAATCTGATAAACGTCCAAGTGAAGAGACATGTAGCGAGGCCTGGAGACAGAGAGAGAACGATGACTCGCAGTGACAGGCTGGCCAGCTTCCTGTTTACGCGCAGACTGTGGTCAAACTCAGTCAATCTGGGAGAATCCCAGTGCTGCCATCTGGGCCTGACTGGAGCTGCGACCAGGCACCGCCAACTGGCACAGTGAGGGATAATGTGTCACTGTTACAGTAGAAAGACGCAGAGCTGCAGAGTCAGGGGTTAGCTTAACATGTAGCAAGAGCAGCTCCTTAAAACTGCAGATTTACATTTCAAATTTTACCAAAACAATCCACAGGAATCACTTTTCCCTGAGCGCTTTCTGCTTTTATCAGTCATTATAGTACTAAATTATTACCACTCGGTTGTATTCTGTGTTTTCTGCTGCAGAAGCCATGTATTAGTCACATTTACTGCCTGAATGTAAAGCCGCACATTTAATTTTCTTTCTTTTTAAAAAAAAACAATTAAAACATACCTACTGCCTTCTGATGTGATTGTCTTAGGCTATCTATTTAAATACCTATGTAAAGTAATATTATGTAGTCGTATTTTTACATAAATGCAAACAAAATATATAATTTAAATATCTTTTTTATTTGAAAAAAAACTTGTATAAAACTGCCGGGTATCGTGTTATGAAGGTAGTTTCATATTTATTTTGCTACCTCAGCGCCAAACCCTTGGTTCTGTTTTGGTCGTGGAAGGATATGGAGAAAATGATTGTTTTAATATTTTCCCATTGCTGTTGTCTTTTTTTTCTTCTTCTTCTTTATCCATATGAAATAGGATTTTATTTTCACAATATATAGACCTGAAGTTTGTCAAAAAGTGGTTAATTTATTCTTCAAATTCATTTTGTTTAGTCAAAAACTGATTTATTGGCGTACAAGTTATGTTATCAATCAGTAAATCAAAGTTTATTTGCATAGCAGCTCTTTAGTGCTTTAACTCGTTAAAAACAACAAAACAATAAGGAACCACAAAAACAACATGGACTCACAAATTGAGAAATGTTGGTGGTTAACTGCAGCTCCGCCCCTTTTTCTGTAACTCTTGATCAGCTCCGTGTTTTCTTTGCAAGTGCTACGCTACAGTATATTAACATGCATTTTAGACACTTCCAGGGTTTACAGTGTATGCAGCTACACTGTAAACATGAATTTGACGAATTCATGTTGTGCATTTTAGCTGTGTGCAATTTTACAGCTGCTGTTAGCTGTTCGTTGGGAACCGTTGCTCTGTAGTTTCAGGGTTATTTTCACTTAATGTGTACAGTGTAAGGAGATTTTGTCTCTTGTTTGAATAAATACAGAGAAACCGAGTTTGTCTTTTGTGAAGTCAACCAGATGGACTTGAAGGGTCATGGAGCCTTTATTTGTTTAAGAAAACAAATAAATGCTGTCATGGCTTATAACTGGAAGAAAAATAAGGATTAATCTCTAATATATTTCTAAATTTCTAAGATCCTATTGGATGCGCTGATCTGCGGAAACTATAAACTGGAGCGGCACTGCAGGGATTTTGTATTGTGCTTTAACAGGGACAAAATTAAGACACCAGAAGTAACTGGAGGCTATGCTTTAGTGAAAATTGGCTATTGAGCAAACCAATGGTGTGCCAGTACCCGACTGGCAGCTCCACCAGTTGCAGCAGCCCACACAACTTAACCGAAAAGCCTGTTTCCTCATAACCAACCGCCCCTGAGTCTGGAGTGCACCCATATTCAAATGTCTATTTTTACATCCATTTTTAACGCTGAAACCTTGACAATATACAATTAGACATAGATTAAAACAATTCTTCTAAGGGTTTTAAAATTTTCTTTTGAGGCTGCTGTTGCAGAGGGGAAATTTGCACTATCTGGTACAAGAAACCAAAAACAAAGTTTCTACACATTCAACCCCTTTTAAATGAAATAGAGCTGAAATGATTAAATGAATGAATCTGTGATGAATCGATTAACAACCGTCAACTAATTTAGTTTTCAATTAAATTAAGTATACACACTCAAAAGGATGATTCACTGAACAGAAAACAATATATTCAGGGGAGTAATTTGCATTTAATTAAGAAAAAAAAATTAATTTTGACTTTTCTTCTGAGAAAAAAGTTGAAAAGAAAAAAGAGTCTCTAATCCTTTTTAACTTTATTTCAAACAAATAGGATTAACATACATAGTGGATCTTCAATGACAAATATCAGTATATTATAATAAAAATAAAGAACAACCGCAGACATTGACAATGTTGATGTCTTACAATCTTCAAAGTGGAATAAATAGAACAAAAAAAGACAAAAGTTGAATAAATATACACATAATTTGGTAAAATTAAACAATGTGTACATTTTCACCTTTACTATTTTCTTAACAAAAAGACATTTAAATAATATAATAAATGGTCTAATACAGCAAAAGAAAAATAAAATAAATATAGCAGAGGCTCTAATCTTCTTCCGTGGATAAACATTGTGTTTTGGTTTAAAGCCCCGTTTACACGACAATGGAGGTTTTTTCCGTTTCTGTTATTATATTTACATGAAGACATTTTAATTACAATCTTTAACAGCACAGGTGTAATGCTCACGCCAAGCCACTAGTTGGTGCTAAAGTCTTTGGAACTAAGTGCGCATGCGTTTAAAAAAAGTTCTACTTAAAAGCTCGTTGATTCCCCATCGGGGTACCATCGGGTACCATCAGGTACCATTACCACTGAACAAAACTCAACAAAACTCCTCTGTTTTCACCTGAAGGCCTAAATCTGCCCTGATTGAATCAGTTTGAATCAGTTCAAAACAAACAAATAAATACAAAAGCTTCTCAAACAGAAACATGGCAACCGCCTTTTGACTCAACTTCAACTCCTAATTCTTATTTCCTCCCTTTTTGTTCTTTTGCGTAAAGTCAAAACCAGCGGACAATTAAAGAGCACAAACTTGTGCGCAAGCGCAAAGCGCTCGTCGCGAGTCCTGGTTCCGTCTCCAGGCGTCTCTTCGCGATGCCTCGCTCTCTCCTCCCTCTCCTCCCTCTCCTCTCTCCACGGAGGACAGATGGGAGGAGACGCTTCTGCTGAACGTGTTGGTTGTTTTTTTTTTTTACTCCTGCAGCGGAGAAAACGCCTCTGCTCTCCGTCGGTCGCAGGTCCGATCATCCATCTCTCTCTCTGCGGGGCGTTCCCGCATCTTCCTCCTTCCCTTTTGGACCGAGGATCATCTGGTCACTAACTGGAGGCACCGCGCTGTCTTTGTGTGGAAGTGGATTTAAATCTTCCTGAAAATGAGCGTGGGACCAGATGCGCTCCTCTCATCCGTTCTCTATCCCTGTTCCGGTTTCGGACCGGTTCGACTGATCCCCGTTCGATGCTGCAGAATCCACAGGGACCAATAAATAAAGAGATTTTCCTCAGAAGCGGATTCACCAGCAGCATCCTGCCAGATGGATAACTACTCCGCGTTACCACGTAAGGCACCAACAGCGTGACACAAACCTGCTGCAGTATTTCTCATTCAGGCTGGGATCCCTGAATGGATCATCTGATTACTGGAGCAGATGATCATTTTCCCAATGTCTCACTTTTTAAAAAATCCTACCACGAGTTTAACTCTGGATTTGGATCCATTAGAGAGGAATAAAAATTTTGGCTCATAAAATACAATGTAGTAAAGAAGGTGAAAAATTGGTGAAATAAATGAGCATTTTTAGTAAATTAGAAAGCCTATCTATCTATCTATCTATCTATCTATCTATCTATCTATCTATCTATCTATCTATCTATCTATCTATCTATCTATCTATCTATCTATCTATCTATCTATCTATCTATCTATCTATCTAACATGTAACTGTCCTGCCGTCATTGAATCATGGTTTCAAACATTATGTCTCTGTTTCTCTCTGTGTCTCACACACACACACACACACACACACACACACACACACACACACACACACACACACACACACACCTGTTAAATCCTCTGCCCTAAGGTAGAGCTGCTTATTATCCTATTTAGCAAACATTTTAGCCATACCAATCTGTCACACTTGTTACAAGCTTGTAATGGCACAGGCTTTTTTTTTTTGTATTCACCATCTGGCTGAATGGTTTATTAGCTTTTTTATTTTCTGGACTTAATTCTTTCTGTTTCATTGCATGGTATAATTTGTTGCCCAGTCCTCTCTGACTTACATTTCATGCTAAACCAGCCTGGGTTTTACTCAAAGGGAATATTTAATTCTAATCTTCAGTGCAACATTTTCAAAGCGCTGCTCATAATATGACTCTTTTAATCTGTTTCCTTCTCAGCAGGGCTCTGCAAGCGCCACTAATTGCCTTAGTTTGTATGATTTGCAAACACTTGAATGTGAGATTTGTCTTTTGTGGTCATATAAACTAAGAGCAGCTGCGGCTGCCGACTTTCAGTTATTGAGACATGCAGATCTGGATAATATCTGTTTCTGTGTGTATATTATTTCTTTGGCTTTATGGTTTTAGTACATGATGTTCTGCTGAGAAAATGTGACTTTTATGTTCTTGTGATATCTGCCATCTTTATACGTCTGTCTCAATGACATAGGGATGTTTTCCAGTATTGGCCAAATTCTTGTATTCTATGAGATATTGTGGAGAAAAGGTAGAAAATCTGGGTTATTCCTAGTTTGTGTTGGGTATCATATAGCCGTATTTTATCTTTGTGAATAAGTTCTGGCTTTTTTTCAATTTCCTGTCTTCAGAAATATATATTTTTATGTTGTAAAACAAAATACCACCATTGAGGATGAAGTACCAGTTTGCTTTGGCTTTCCTGTTTGTGTCCATTGAGTAATTACAAAATTACACGTATTTGCTACATGTTAGAGATGAACCGATCTGATTTTAATAATTTAGATCTTGTGTCCTCTGAGCATGATCTTTATGGTTTATTTTGCATTATATTTAATTGCTCTTTCTGAACCATTTGAAAGTTGGTTTGTGGTGGTTTATTTTTACATGCTTCACCAATTAGCCAGTTGTTTTTGTCAGTTTCAGTTTATTATTTATTTCTAATTGCGCCGACTGAACAAATTAAAGTTGTTTTTTCATGTTTGACCAAGCTTGTGAAGCTATTGGTGTTTTTAAGTGCTGTAACTTTGCAGAGTTATCAAATAAATGAGTAATTTATTGCATTTATGATACTAAACCTCAAATGTCGGTATCAGTATCTGAAGTGGAGGAAATGGATCGGTGCATCCCCTGTTTCAACAAATTGCTGAGAATTGGCACTATATCAACAAGTGAACTGAAATTATGCAATTACTATAAAGTCTTTAGATGTTTTCAGTGAAGGTAAACACTGAACAGTCAATATTTTGCTCTTTGAAGCATTCCTAGATTCCTTTGGAGAGCACGGAGGAAAACTTATGTCAGTATGTTGGTGATTGTGGTGTAAAAACGATGCTGGTCATTTGAACTGCCCAGCCTCATGCATGCCCAAATTTCCACCCCTATCAAACCCTGTCAAGCGGTGGTATCGAGTCTACATGCTGTCAGATCTTCCTGCAACATCCTTTAACACACAGCTCATCTCATCATGCCAGTTCTAATGCCATTTTGTGCCATCTCATTGCAAATTGAATCAGTTTCATTCACGTCTCTGAGCTCCATGTCTATCAGATTGGGTCATTCCCTGTGGGTGCTCAACTTGGTTTCTCTATTTTGTCCTGTCAGTGAGTACTAGGCTTGTGATTTTATTTATTATGAAGACGATAAAAAATTTTGTTTTGAAATCTATCGGTCTTTTTGGTCTGTAAATGTATCACTGCCATGACTCAGAGCCTCAAAAACAAATAAAATTCCCCTTTCATCAAATATACAACTTCACCACTTCAATTTCTTTAAGTGTGGGAGCCGTGCTTCGAGGTAGTACATAATAATTTTGTTTGATTGCACTTTGAAACATAAATGGAGCATTTATTGATTGAAGCATAAACAACTGTTTTAGTAATCATCAGCCATTATCCCTGTTTTGAGGGTTTGCTTTCTTATATTCACAAGACAGAAATTTTCTAATTAGAAAATTAGAAATTTTCTAATTTTCTAATTTTTTGGCCCAGTATAGGTGAACAAAACAATCTCCCTTCAGAGTGAACACTGCCTGTGACTCCAGTTTACCTGTCACTGGTCATAATGGTATCATTTACCAGTGCAACTCTTCTATTGGGTAATATGTAAGGGGGCATATAATGCATTTTCCAAACACATAGTCTCATTTTATAACACAACTGGTATGTCAATTCCAGTTGTTATGTTGTATATAAATAACCTAACCTTAATTTGACCTTGTGTTGTAGTCAGACCTGACATCTTGAAATTGGACACTGTCTCTTTAAGAACCCCCTACTTGACTGATTCAATTTCTACTCCTGTATCAGAATAAGTGGAGATAGCGGTTAGCAACAAGCTAACTAATCATCTGGGCCTTGTTATCGTTTTAATGCCATTCAGACTAAAACAATCACTTTGACCTATGTGACGTGTCAAACCTAAGGCTCAGGGGCCAGATGGGGCCCGCCGTTGCTCTTTAGGTGGCCCTCTAGACTCCAAATTACATCCATAAGTACCTCCAGTTTTTCACACATCTACAAAATTCACCCAAAATCAACAGATCCCCACAATTTTTCTAATTTTCTTGCAAATTTTTGTTCCGAAATATTGGGTTTAACTAACTGCTGCCTCAGCCATGATTGATACGAGTCATAAAGTCACATTTATATCATATGCATTAGTGCAGAAAATCCTTACAAACATTTCTAAATTAAATAATTTGATTATGAAAATTCTATCACAATATTTATATTAATATTTTAACATTTTGTGGGGTTTTATTGATACATTCTGTCTCAACCGGCCCTTTAAGAACAATCAGACTTTTGATTTGACGCTGCTGATCAAAAATTTGTAATGCATGTTATAATGACGCATGTTTAACAAAAACAACGATTAGCTGATGACTCACCACAAACTCCTTGATGATCCTTTTTATTAATAATTCTTATTTTTGATGCCTGTTTTGACATATTTCAAGCTTTTATTGCTGATTTATTTTATGTGAAATATAAAACTTGTGTAACATTAGCCTTGGTAGAGACTGATACTGTAGCTTTTATCCTTATTGAGAGGAAAGACCTTTTCACAGCATGATAGGCTTGAGTAAGGATCAACACAAAGATAAAAAAAACTATGTAAAATCTTTTAGTTTTCATTTAAAACAGCTTTTCAGTCTGGTTGAACTTGCCAACTTTATTTTTACAGCTTGTGTCGAAATATTTCCAAAGAGCTGCAAGTTAACGTAAAACATATCAGCCTAGGAAGAATAAAGAAGCACCGGGTTACATTCTTCTTTGTGATTTTCATTGCTGCCAATATAACTGTGCAAATAGGAAATCTGAAAATTAATTTTCAATTTAAAATAAAAACACGTTTTTTTAATATAAAGATTTTCCTCTATATCCAAATTAGTGTAATTAATGAACACATTTTAAACTGAAATTAAATTGCCACTTTCTTTCTCCACGGGGTGCATCTTTTTCTGATGATACTACTTCCTACTTGGAACCTTTCATGTCATAATAAGACTAACATATGCTGTGGCAGAAAAACCCAACCATGTTTGGTCTCCATTTGATCATAATGATTACGATTGTTTGCACGTGTGCTCCATTTTACATTTGAGTCGCTGGTGACGGTGAATGCTTAAGGCTATCCTTGCAACATGCAGTTCTGTCAAATATTGAACTTAATATTTGCTTTTATATTGAACTCCAACAATAATCGGTGTGCCTCCAGTCTAATCGCGTTTCCTGTGCATTCTTTGGCTTGTCTACATAATTCTGGCAGCTTCGTCTGTCGTAGCCGCACACTGAACCCATTTTAGGCTCATCGAGGATGCTGTGCGATCTAAATATAGCATTCCAGAGCTGAGTGAAATAAAATGAATCTTCTGATGTATCAATAAGTCGTCTTCAAAGTAAGCCGTTGCATGCAGGTGGGAAGAAAGTTGTGCTTTTTCTTTTTTTTCCCCGGTGTTGCTCCGCTGAAGCTTTCACAGGACGCGCTGCCGCTCCTTCTGTTCCCGCTGCTGCTGCTGATGCTGCTCGTTGCCTAGTGACTGTATCCATGGCACCGGCTCCTATCGTCATGGTGACAGGCCAACGGAGAGAGACCCAGTGAGGGAAGGGGGGACAGAGATACCAGTGCATCTGCAGTGTGTGATGGGATGAGGAGGGCGGATTGTGATATATATTCGAGGATGATGGCGATGAAAATCATTGCGCCTCAGTCGTGACATATCGGTGTTGTCAGTTTGCCGGTGGCTCGCTGAAGGACAAGGAAAGTCGAGTTTAATTAGTCTCCATGTGGCAACTTTTCCTCAGAGGAAGCTGTTTCTGATGGATGGATGGATGGATGGATGGATGGATGGA